TCACCTTTCATTCCCATAACTGAGCTGTGGGGAGGCTGCACACACCCTGATTGGCTGACTTGGAATTCCAACTCTGCCATTTACTATCTGAGGGGCTTGGGCAAATTACTTAGGCATTTTGCGTTTTCAATTACTCATTTGTAAAATGAACAGTGTCTGCTAATGGGGGTTGTTTTGAGGATTAAGTGAGCTAACATATATTTAACTAAGTACAACAGTGCCTGGCACATGATAAGTACTCAGCCTTTTTATTTTGACCATGGCTGTTGTTGTTATTACTATTATAAATAATACTATGTCCTGTGCTACCAACCACTCCACTGAATGGCCTCTCTTTGGGAGGGAGCAACAAAACATGCTTGGAGCAATATGTCCCCTGACTCTCCCAAACAACTCAAGATGAAAAGATTTTTTTTTTCTTTTTGTCCAGTTTCAGTAAACATTCACTGAACCCATTAATTATGGGCAAAGCCCTCTACCAGAGGCTCCTGGGAGACCACTTCCTTACTCCTCAAAGAGAGATGGAGCCTGGTCATAAGCTTCAGTTACAGGAATTCAGTAAGCAAGACAGAAATAGGAACTCAGTCAAGCAGGGTTTAAAATGGATCCTCCTAGTAGGCAGATGTTTAGTAAATGCTTATTGAATAAATTAGTGGGAAAAAAATCACAGTGAATTAAACACCAAATGCTCTTCTGTATTAATTGGAGACTACAGCAATGTGTCAGAGGATGGACTTCAAGGATAGAGTTAAATTGCCCAGGCTGAAATAGTCACCCCACCATGTACATGTTATATTGAGGCTACTTAATAGGCCTGGTCTTCTCATCACTATAATGGTGCTGTTAATGGAAGCTGTTTTGCAGGTTGCTGAAATGATTAAGTAATCAATATACAGAAAATATTTAAAAGAGTTCTGGCTCATAATAATCACTCCACCAATGTTAGTTACCATTATTATTACTTTTGGCTGAAACATAACAAAGGCTCTTGGAGAGGCACTTTACGTAGAACCAAATCAACTTTAAGCACATCCACTACAATGATAGTTGATGTCATGGTGTTGCAATTCTCCTGATTTTGCCAACTCAGCAACCTTTCCACCCTTTTCTCAAATACTTCTTTATGCTTTGCTTTGAGGAATCATCCTTTCCTAGCCTTCGACCCTGTAGGTCCCTGGGCCAGGTACCCAATCCAGATATGGAGGAAGGAAAAGAAGGATTGGTTCAGGGTTGGGGACATGACCCAAGCTACACCACTGATATTCAGACTGGCACTTTATTGGGACTAACAATGATGAAGTAATTAGAACATGAACCTGGAAGTGTTGGTGAGAAGAAAGCAGAGCCCAAAGAAAGAGAAAGATAACATTCCTAATCACATCGTGTGACTTCTAATAAACTCCATATTCAGCTTCATTTGGCTTGAGTCGGGCTTTGGTACCACAACCCAAAGTGTCCTGAGTAATAAGATCAGAACCACTCATTCTGAGTGAAGATGATTGGTGAAAGGTGGAAAGTCTAGGATATTAAGTTATTATCTCCTTAAGTGCTGTGTAGGCTTTAAGATACCATTGTAAAGGGACTAGTTGACACCAGGAATTTTTATCCAAATGAAAATGAGGATTATTTACAGGGTTATCAAAGAACCACAGTCTCTTCATATATGGTGGCCAGAAAGCAGTGAATATAAAAGCCTAGAAAAGTATCTTTCTGACTTTCATGAATCTGGAGTTCCTTGAGGAGCTTGTAGAAGAGGCAGGTTCAGAGGCTCCACCCTGAAATTCTACAGCAGGTCTAGAAATCTGCATTTCTAATGAATACCACTGGGGGGGCTGACAGTTCACTGAAGCTAGCAGTCCACTTTGAGAAACACTACCCAAGAGGGCCCAGTTTTGTTTAGATATTGTAGGCAAATCTAGAGTACACAAACCCAGCTGGGAAGGAATCCCTAGAAAGCTGCGAAATGAAGAAATTCTCATAATTATTTCAGGAACTAAAACAACTTCAAAGACTAAGTCTGAGTTGAAGTACTAATTCTGAAGCAAATATCGGCAAATTTGGAAGTGTCTCAGCTCTAAAACCAGAAGAGCAGAAGCATTATACCCAGTTCTTTCTGTGGCTAGTTTCTATTTAAGAAAAAAAAAAGAAAAAAAAAAAAAAAGAAAAGAGGAAGTGGTGTAGAATAAAAACAATAATCTAAAAATTGATTTCAAGTTTATGGTTTTATCAATTTCATTACAATAAACTATAGTAACTTTGCAGTAGATCACTGCAAACAATTAACAAAGACGACCTTTGAGAATTCATCTCAGTTTTTAACAGAGCAGCTATAATGAGCACAATTATAATAATTGGTAAGAAGCTCTCGCAGCATTCCATAATACACAAAAGACAACACGGCAAAATGAAATAGATTGTTTTCTGAGGATACCACACAAATTTCACAAAGGAAATCTTATGCTGACTGTAATGTGTAAGGGGATGATACAAAAGTCATTTGATGCTGTATCAGACACTACGAGAAATGAGAAAACTATCTCCTCATGTGATATCCATATTGATCTTTGTTAAGGGTCAGTGGTCACAAAATAGTCAGTAGTGTGTGTAAATCAGGGAAACTACCCAGCCCTTTCAACAAGGGCTTTCAATTAAGCCTAAGTGCCATAAAGCGTCCACTGTATGCATCTCCTATGTACTGACAACAAACAGCCTTAGCTCTGTACCATCTTCTGGAGAATTGAGAAAGAAAGAGTCTCTCATATTCATTTTCTGCAGAGCTTCGCTATCTTGTGGAACCCAATTTAGAAAGGCTAATTGACATTCCCTAAACTGAAAATAGAAATGTTGGGATAAATAGCTGTGTTGATGCCACAGCAAGGTGGTCTAACAGCAATAAGTGGTTCTTTAAGTAACTTAAAGTCTCAGACATAGAACCAGAAACTATGAAAATAATATTCCGGGTTCTCGAGTCATACTTTATGCATCAACATACAACATTGTGGCCTGAGATTAACGATGCCAGTGGAAATCAAGCGTAGTTCCACAGAACCACACAACAGAACTTCACGGCATGAGTGGTGTGGGCTCCACCCACAGTCATTATTAAATTGCCAAGTGCATCACATGATGTGGAGATCCTATTCAGTCCAAGAAAATACAGTGTTGTGACTTCAGCAGAACTGCAAAATAAATTCTGACTTATTTTGTGGAAAAACTTTATGAAAGGTTTACATATTTTTTGATGGGTTTCCGCATAGAGACTGAAAGTGCCTGATCTTGATTTTTGTGTGAGATCTGCTAACTGGTGACACCATCATCCATCCTCCCTCCACACCTCACAAAACACAGATTTTTAGCGGCACATATTGGGAGAATAAAAGACTACATTTCCCGGCTTCCCTTGCAGCTAGGTTTATGAAAGCAGAAGTGAAATGGAAATGTTGCATATAAGTAGAAAAGATTTTCGTGGAAGGAGCTCTTTTCTGTTCCCTTCTCCTTCCACCCACTCACTCTCCTTTTCTTGCCACCAAAGAACGTGATCGATGGAAATCGGACAACCACCCAGAACCTGAAGTGTGGAAGCCACTCCACCACCTGGTTGCCATACAGCCTTGGGCTGTAGGTTCCAGGCTCCTCTAACACGGAAAAGCAAGACACTTCCATCATGCTTGAGCCTTTGTCCTTTTGAATTTTCTGCTTCAAGTGGCAGAACCAAAATGTAATTCTAAATAATCTACATGCAGCTTCTTCTTCAATAAAGGCCAGGTGAATTAATAAACTAATAGGGATTAAGTATTTGAGCTGGTTTGCAACCTTTGAAATTTGAATAATGTATTTACTTCAAATGCATTATTCAAATAAAAGGACAAATAAAAGGAAGTGGTACTTTAATGCTAAGAAACATGGGGATAATTTTTTTTTTTTTTTTGCTGGTGAAAAATTCATATAATTTAAAGACAAATTCAGATCAATAATAAATAAGGAAAGGAAATCAGTACAATGCATGGTATAAATGATCATTAGTGAAATTAGGATTATGGTAGACAATGTACCATATAATATCTACTTATCAAAGGTAACAAACGGGGCCAAAAGGATGTAGACTGAGATCTGACAAGCAGATATATTGTGTTTTTTGTTTTTTTTTTAAATTTTATATGTTGGCTCTTGTTATCTTTGTGTGATTCATTTGTTCTGTGTCTATTTACATTGAATAAACCACTTCCGGGTTGAATGGAAGACTTTGGTCCTTTAGTTTTTATGTATAGTGTGCAGACATCTCAGAAAAATCTCCAAACAATAGAAAATTATTAATATGCTTTTGATGTCCGGTGAGTCCTTTCAAGTCTGATTTTTGCTCTGTACTCTCAAAAAGGCATTAAATATTTTAAAGAGACCTAGCAAAAAGGATTGAAAGCATTAGATTTTATTTAAAATAAAGTCTAGTCCTTAGATTGCTTTCGACCTTCCAGGCAGAAGTTATATTTCAGCGTTGCTCTAGAATAAGAATTTTTGGTTATTGGGATTTTTTTTTTTTTTTTTGGTCAATATTTTGGAGGAGGGAAATATTCATGTGAAAAGGCCCTAATCAAATTGCAGTAGCGACCCAAACTCTTATCTACTCCAGCACTAGGTGGACCTTTGGGGAAACAGTTAAGACTCATCTCTTCTTGTAATCTCAGTATTATTCTTTTAATACCTTCAAATCCGTGTTCTGTCTTCATAGGCAAATATCTGTGGCTGTGTTTATGTAAATTTTCAACACACGTTATTCACTCTAACTATAGAAGGCAGTGGGTAGGTATCTAATTTAATTAGAGTGATTTATCCATGGTCTTTGCAGTCAGCTGTTCAATACTCTTAACTGCTTTACATTAAGCTCAGTGGAGAAAGACCTTAGATGTTTAGGAAGATTCTAGTTCTGAAAAACAATTTTTTTTATCACCAATTTCTCTATCACAAATATAGAGCTACTGAGATAGAAGATAAAGATACATTACCCCTGTGACATCCATGACCTTAATGGCTGCAAGCTGGCCCGTTTTAACATGACGACCCTGTAAAGGAAAAAAATAATAAAAGATTAAGTTCTGATAAGCAATGTCCACATTCAGTTCCACCTATAGAGAATAATTACCCAGATGACTGTTACAGAATGTGGATGGGGAAAACACACACACACACACACACACACACACACACACAGAGTAATCTTAAATGCTGGGTGGCTCAGTGGCTGAGCGTCTGCCTTTGGCTCAGGTTGTGATCCCAGGGTCCTGGGATCGGGTCCCCATCAGGTTCCTACAGGGAGCCTGCTTCTCCCTCTGCCTGTGTCTCTGATGAATAAATAAATAAAATATTTAGAAAAAAAATCTGAAATGCTTTAAGGATCAATTTCTATGTAATATTTACTTCGAAAAACATCTCCATCACTTTGATTTTGGATTTATTTTCATAGTGGTGTTAAGTTAACCAAAAAAGGCAATGTTGAATAATTTGGTTCTATCTTCTCTCCAAGGTGGTAGATAAGGGCTTCTGTGGGAGGAAGGAAGCTCCGCGTGGAGGGGACACCAGTATCTCCTCTGTCAGAAAATAGTAGGTGAAGCAACTTTAGTTTCCTGGACAGTGAAAATATCTTGTAACAGTTTCAACTGGACAGGATTCTGCTCTAACTTGAGAATGTAAATTTATCTTTGTCTTAAACGTGAACCTAAAACAAAACAGGTAGTAATCAATTCAAATTTGTGATTAAAGAGGCAGCATTGAGCATAAGCAGCTGCTTGGCCAAAGCGAGCATCTTTGGTCTTCGGAACCACAATAGAGGGTCAACCACACAGAATCCGAAGAAAATAGTGTCTGGTGAGAGGGCAACCTCCGAACAGAAGCTTTCTCTACACTTGCTCCTTGAAAAACGTAAAATCTACATCCAATTCTCAGATAGTAGCAAAGATGGTCAATACACATTCCTTCTAAATGCATTTTATGAGTGGCTTCTAAAATACATTTCGAGGACGCCTGGGTGGCTCAGCGGTTGAGCGTCTGCCTTCGGCTCAGGTCAGGATCCCCAGGTCCTGGGATCAAATCCCACACTGGGCTCCCCGCAGGGAGCCTGCTTCTCCCTCTGCCTGTATCTCTGCCTCTCTCTGTGTGTCTCTTTATTATGAATAAATAAATATAATCTTAAAAAATACATTTCAGCAATGACTGCGACCAGGAAGTATTATACCGTCTCCAAGATCAGCTGGATTCAAATGCTAGCTCTGTGACCTTAGTCAAGTCCCCTAACATTCTAACCTTCATCTGAAAAACGGAGATAGTGGTACCTGACTCCTGGTATCTCAGCGAGGATTAAATGTCATAACATATAGCGAATGTTTGACAGTGATGAGCTGTCAGCAGGTGCAGTCTATGATTATTTATGACCCTGTTTTGTGATTAATGTTAAATGTTGACTTTCCTTCTAGGCTATGTGTTTCATGAAGGCCAGGGCCACATCTCATTGTTGTATTCCCAGGGCCTGGAATGGTGGGTACTCACCCCACAGCTGGAGTGGCATGTTTGTGGACGAAAACAGCAGGTGATGGAGGCATGGACACTTGTAGTTGGGAAGAGGGGATAGGTTTGGCGCTGTCTGTCCCTTTCCTTCTCATCGCTCTCAGCTTTTTACACCCATTTTATTCCGATTCTGGTAGTGCTACCTTCACCTTTCCATTTCCCATTCTGCTCCTTCCCTTTCCTCCTTAGTCAGGAAAGAGCTAAAAGAAGGAGGCAGCAACTCTTAACCCAATATGGTCATGAGCACAGCCTCTCCTTTATTTCCTCTTTTGAGACCATAAGGGAAGGGCCTGGAGTGTTAGTGCACAGAGCCCTGGACTGGAATTCTGGAAGCCTGGTTCTGGTCTAGGTTCTGTTCATGACCAGCAGGTTCATTTGGGAAGAGTGATGTAACCCATGGGGGCCCTAGTTTCCCTGTCTGCAAACATGGGGGGAAAGGACACAGTGGCTGGGGGTGGGGAGCAGGGCAGGGGGCAGGTATCATTGTTACTACCAACTCTTTCTCCAAAGAACACTTGGAATTGCAGTTTTCACCATGACTGAGCGGGAAGCATAGTGCTACTGCAGTTCAGTGTCCAGAGGCCAGGAATCCCACTTTCCTGTAGAAGTCCTTTCACACAAGGGAGAAGTTGCAAGTGTCCTCTGTTGACAAACACTGAATGGTCTCCAGAGTTGTCTGGGTCCCAGTAAGAGTCTGGGCCACTGTAATGATGACCTCAGCAAAGCAATCAACAGCTTCTCTTTGGGAATACCGTCGACTCTTGAACAATGCATGGAGTAGGGGCGCTGACCCGTGTGCAGTCAAAAAATCCATGTATAACTCTTGACTCCTCAAAAACGTTTTACTACTAACAGCCTACTGTTCACCCAAAGCCTTTCTGACAACATCAAACCCTCGATCAACATATATCTTGTAAGCTGTGTTATGTACTGTATGCCCACAACAGGATAAGCTAGAGAAAAGAAAATGTTATTAAGAAAATCATAGGCAGAGAAAATACATTTACAGTATGTAATGTAAAGAAATCTTCGTACAAGTGAGCCTATGCAGTTCAGACTCATTCAGGGTTCAAATTGTATAAAGTCTTTAAAGCAAGGGCCATCAATCATACCTTGAACAGTGGCAGCTTCTCTACAAAAGCACTAAAGGAGGGTAGGGAAACGAAGACAAAATGCAGAGCGTCTGGCTGGTGTCCTACAGCTGTTTGACCTTGATGTTCTCCTAATGGCTCCATACAGCCGGATAAAGGCACACCCACCCCTGCATGTGGCCTGCACACCCACCCCTGCACGACGCCGGACCACCTTGAGGGCCTCCCCTCTGCTCTTATTCTGTGGTCCCTGAGACTACACTGTTTGTGTTCTTTGAATGCACCATATTGTTTCTTGCCTCTCTGATAATGTGTTTTCTTTGCCTAAGATGCTCCTCTGCTCCTGAATCCCCAGTAAAGTTACTCACTCTTGTTGGATTCAACTCAAGTACCACCTCCCCTGAAATCTCACTGTCAATCCCTCCTCACCTCTGTGCACCAACGAACATGTCCATGTTTCTATCACGACATTGAGCCCAAAGAACCAGTGGTCCCCCTCCATCCCTCTCTGATTTTCCTTCCCATTCTCCCTTCTTTGTCCTCTGACTTCATTTGCAGCAGAACCCCCACCCCCATCCCCACCAAAACAAAAGAAAATAAATCTCCAATGGAATCTTCCTGGTTCAAGCAAGGGCTTGACCAGCGAAGTCTGGTCTGCTCTAAGGGCCACCTCTCTCTCTTCCCTTGTCAATACACAGTGTGAGAAACGTTACACTTGACCTTCAACTCCTTAAGAAACAGGGAATCTTCTTGGAATAAATAATTTGTTACAAGGACATGTCAACACCTCCTTCTTTCCACCAGCAGCCCCGGGAGTGGAGCGGATCTAGCCTTTGGCCCAGGTTGGAGGCCAGGAATAGAAGAAATCCACTTCATATTTCAAACACAAGGCAGGGGATGGGTGGTTCTCAGTTTGAAAGAAATAAATTAAATATCTGCTACTTTTTTGAATATAGGGTATGTTGTTGTTTTTGTCTTTGCTTTTATTTGAGTGACTGTTATCATGTCACTGAAGGAAAACACCGAGAAAGAAAATAACCTACTTCTCTCCCATTTCCAATTTCACTCCCAAGCTGAAGAGCAGTTCTCGATGGCTCTGACAGATGACTGAATAACACACCTCGGGATGGCAGTTTGGGCTTTAAATGAGATCCTGGAGATGGAACAATTAGCAGCCTCAGCTCAGTCCCAGGCAAAGACATCCCCCGCACTCCGGAATAGGAAGGCTGCTGAACTGTCACCCTTTGATAGAAGAGGGCCACAAAGGAGGCCGCCTGGCACGAGGTGCCTTTTACATCACTGGAGACTGTCAACCCAGATTAGGATCCAGATTAAGGCTGACTTTGAGGGGATAGCCAGGAGTCAGCTGACCTAAAGATCCTAGAAACCCGAGGCACAGTCATTGTTAGGAGTGTTTAAGGAGGCAACTTCATAAAATCACAAATAAGTTAATAGGAGGAGCCCCTAAAGTGCCTAATCCAAGACCCTTTTAGAGATGAGGCCAAAATCTCACAATTAATGAGGACCTCAAACGCAGGACACCTCCTCTTCTCTCCCGCATCTGCCATCCAGCCCATGAATTAAAACTTATCGTGAACATTTTAAGAAATTCTTAAACAAAACTTCCTTTCATATTTTACATCACAGGGGTGAAACATTGAACTGTTTATCTCTATTTCAGGTAGGATCCAAAAAAAAAAAAAATCTTTTTTATTTGAGGGCAAGGCAACATGGGAGGATGTTATTACAGGAGAATTTTAAAGTAAAAAGTTAACATTTCTCCTAATTTTTTATTTCCACTTCCAAAAGAAACGAAAAATATAAACAGGGACTCCATCTAAATTTGAATCTAAAATACATATTCAACCAAGGACAAAACATTTTTTTGATCCTGGCGGGGGGGGGGGGGAGAAACTTTAAAGGGAGACACAAAAGGGTTACAGTTTTTTCTCCACAAAAATTCGAAAAAAAAAATCTTGTTGGACTGCAGTTGCTGAGTCATTTTTTTAATAAAAGAAAGTTTTTTTTTTCCTGAAATAGCCAACAATAACAAAAATAACAGACTAAATCTAGACTAGAAAGCATAATTGGTATTCCAGTAGGACCCAAAGCCTATTGTCAATCATGTCCTCAAGCATAACAAGCAGGCCCACAAAAAAGGAGGAAGAATGAGCATCAAATTGAGGAGAGCAAAGGGTGTGGGGTCACTCAGAACTGGTGAGCGTGGTCCAGCCCCACCCTCAGACACACATCCGAACACACTCTGCTCCCCTTCTTCCTTTCTTCTATCTCACACTTGAAGTCAAAAAATATATATGCTGATTCTTGTTCTTTACAAAATAACACTGCTGTGAAATCTAAATCACTCAAGGATTATAGTACTCTCTCTACCCCTTTACCTCCTCCCTCAG